ACTGTTTCGTTCTATAACATATATATTCCCCGCTAAAAAACCATCCATAATTTTTTTTTCTCTTACAGAACCCATAAACCAGCACTAACCCTATTATTCCCCCTTGTCGCCCCGGGTCCCCTGCTCCGCCCATCCCACTGCTCACCGAGATATCGCTCCTGACATCACCATTTATATAACCCCATGGATAAACGATTCGCCGGCCACCTGTCGCCTGCTGCTTTAAAGACAATAATTCGCCTGCAAAGTATCGATTTGCCCACCCGCGTAATAATACTAAAGAGATTTCAATTTGTTCGCTGGCCACCCCATAAATACATTAGCATAAAGCAATAAAAAAACAATACATATAATGCGCCCTCATACACAACAAAGGGGTTGAACCCCACACATTCACATTATGAGATGCAACCACTGAGTCTGCTTGAAATAATTGCTTGAAGTAATTGTCGGAAGTTGTCTCGACTGCCCCCGAAGAATTACCACTGACCGCTACTGACCAATCAGAACCTTCGAATACTTATTTATAAAATCAGATAGTCTGCCAATTATGCACGTTCTTATCGGCCCTCACCAGTATGACAAGACACCCACCCTTCTGTCGTACATTCTCATTTTTACTACAGCTCAAACCCTCTCTAAGCGGTCGATCTTCGCTACCCTGACACAGATGATGATAGGGATACATGAGACAGTATAACTGTGTCTTCTGACACAGGGATACATGAGACAGCGTAACTGTGGTGCCTGACACGGGAATACATGAGACAGTGTTACTGTGTCTTCTGACACGGGGATACATGAGACAGCGTTACTGTGGTGCCTGACACGGGGATACATGAGACAGCGTTACTGTGGCTCCTGACACGGGGATACATAAGACAGTGTTACTGTGGCTTTTGACACGGGGAAACATGAAGCAGTGCCGTTTGGCTGTGGCGGACATGTCCTTGTTATCTTTAAGCGATTTCTGGAAACGAACTTCTTCGCTTCTTGTCGCAGCTGATTGTTTATGTTGATAGGCAAGCGTTTAGAAGAGAGCAGCTAGAATCTTTTTTCTTTTTTTGTCTGTGTGGACTTTGTGCATTTAGACGCCGCAACATTCCACGTCCCAATATGGCACGCATTAGTAGTAGGCTAGCGTGATACGACCCGCATCCCTATCGATTTTTGGCTCACCCTCCCTCTTTATCCTTGGTAAAAGATGGCGGCCATCTGACTGCACAAGTGATTGGTTTTCTCATGTATCCCCGTGTCAGGAGCCACAGTAACTCTGTCTCATGTATCCCCGTGTCAGGAGCCACAGTAACAGTCTCATGTATCCCAGTGCCAGAAGCCAGAGTAACACTGTCTCATGTATCCCAGTGCCAGAAGCCAGAGTAACACTGTCTCATGTATCCCAGTGCCAGAAGCCAGAGTAACACTGTCTCGTGTATATCCGTGCCAGGAGTCACAATAACGATGTCTTAAGTATCCCCCTGCCAGGAGCCACAGTAACGCTGTCCCATGTATCTCCGTGTCAGGAGCCACAGTAACGCTGTCTCATGTATCTCCGTGCCAGGAGCCTTACGGCACTGTTCCATGTATCCCTGTGTCAGGAGCCACACGGCACTGTTCCATGTATCCCCGTGCCAGGAGAAACAGTAATGCTGTCTCATGTATCAACGTGTCAGGAGCCACACGGCACTGTTCCATGTATCCCCGTGCCAGGAGAAACAGTAATGCTGTCTCATGTATCCCCGTGTCAGGAGCCACAGTAACGCTGTCTCATGTATCTCCGTGCCAGGAGCCTTACGGCACTGTTCCATGTATCCCTGTGTCAGGAGCCACACGGCACTGTTCCATGTATCCCTGTGCCAGGAGCCACAGTAACGCTGTCTCATGTATCCTCGTGCCAGGAGCCACAGTAACGCTGTCTCATGTATCCCCGTGCCAGGAGCCACAGTAACGCTGTCTCATGTATCCCCGTGCCAGGAGCCAGAACTGAGGTACGTATCGATCTCGGCGTCATTTATTTACACGATTATCTCCCTCGCTGATACTTAAGACATTTCAAGATGTCAGTATTTCTCAATTTCTTTGTTCAATTATTCATTACTCTACAGTTATTTATGTTTTACATTGCGCAGTCAAATCTTTATGTCGGACAAAAGAGAGCAACTCGAACAAAGGGGTTCGTTTAGCTATAATAAAATATAACAACAATATTATCATCAACAAAAACAACATTTAAAGTTTAATAAGTAATGCTTTGATTCTGTTTAATATATTTTTGTGCGTAGTGATTAAACTTTACAGATTTCATTATAATGCCATAAATCTCACAGTAAATATGTTGAGATACACGAAATGATTTTACTGTTGTTGACGGGACATCCGCTGCTGATACCACTGTTGTTTCTACCTACTGTTACTTCTACAATAATTACTACAGCTACAGCTGCTAAACCAACAACATTAACAACAACTACTAGCAGTAGCACTCAATATGACAACAACAGAAACATCAAATACCAACTATTTTACCACCACCTCCACTACTACTACTACTACTACTACTACTAATACTACTACTACTACTACTACTACTACTACTACTACTACTACTACTACTACTACTACTACTACTACTACTACTACTACTACTGCTGCTGCTGCTACTTCTACTACTACTACTACTACTACTACTACTACTACTACTACTACTACTACTACTACTACTGCTGCTGCTGCTGCTACTTCTACTACTACTACTACTACTACTACTACTACTACTACTACTACTACTACTACTACTACTACTACTACTACTACTACTACTACTACTACTACTACTACTACTACTACTACTACTACTACTACTCCTCCTCATCCTCCTCCTCCTCTTAGGTTTTGTGTAAATAGGTGTAACAAAACAAAAACCTCAAAAAAGGTTAATTTCAAAGTTACAAATTTACTGTCCATGTGGGACACAATGTCCATAGATACATAGAAACACGTGAAAGGACAGCATAACTGGTTCAGCATTATACTACATTGTTACTGAAAAACGTACCATATAATATAGTCACATTTAATGATTGTCATCAACAAAGTCCATGAAGAAATAGATAGCATGTCATAAAATTCGATTTTTAAGTCAGAGTGCGTCAGCCTGAGAGACGATGAATGAAGAGTGCATTAAAAAAAGCCAGAATTGTAAAACAAATTTGCACACCCCCCGTAAAAAATAAAAATTATGGAACAAGACGAGTCAGAAGTGAGGTGAACAACCGAAACTTTCTGCCGGATATTGACAGCCGGTGAACATGAAAAAGAAGAGCTGCTGAAATAAATAAAAAAGGAGACCAATAAATATTTTGTTTACATTAAGAGAAATAATCTTTTTAAAAATCATACTGGAGATAAATGTCGAAGGCAAGCTAGAAACAATATTTTGGTGGACAGAACCTTGAGATAGACGATCAGCAGTTTGAGAAAATAAGGAGTTGACTAAACATTGAGATGCCTACTCTAAACAGCCGCCGGAAACTATGCATAAGACATTGTTCAAGAAGTTATTGAACTGACACACGTTATTTCTACATTCAATACTATTTTTTAACTTCAAAGAAAAAATTAAAATTTTTTACATTTCATAAAATGTGAATATAATATATCTGCACCATGAATGAGATCATTCAATAACATAAAGCAAAGCAATTAATAAGCGACAACATAAAAATAAATCATTACAATTTCAGTTCATTATAAGACAAATTTACCCCAACCTTAAGGGGACAAACTTTTAAGAAACCATATTCGCAGGAACTGACACGCAATTTACCTTCCAAAGTATGATCGTAACTGTTCAAACATTCACGCACACACATTTTGAAAAACACTTTGTGTAAGTGTATTTGAATTGCGTCAGCGTCTGTGGCTTAGTCGTTGCAAACGCGTTTCGTAATGCAGGGGAGCCAGGTTCGATCCCAGCTGCAAACGGTTTGTCTTGCGTTAGTCTCAACAGTGGTAGAGCTGATAGTTCAATAAGCAGTGATAAACTACTGAACACATATTTGCCTAGAAAAACCACACACACAAAATAATAAAAACCATGCTTAGTTGGTTCTGCAACGTCCTGTAAGGAGACGCAACTAACTTGTATTTAAATAGTATTAAATGTAGAATAGCTCGAGCAAATGCAGAATTTCACACAATGCATAATGTTGTATACTTTCTATACATCTTGTCAATGTAGACTGACGTGAAAAGCCGTTTTTAAGAGCTGTAAAGAGCAAATTCTAATCCACAGAAGTGAATAATGGACAGTCATTATATCTCAGGAAGTAATCATCACGTGGAAGCCGCAGAGACCTGGTTTTATAGACGAGTGACGTGAACACTATGTGCAGGTAAAATGTTTAGTGGAAACAAAAAAATTATTAAAGTGTTGTTCCGACAGTGGGTGTTAACTGTAGAGGGTATGTGCATCAACAGCTGTCTTTGGAAATATTACATAATGAGACCACAATCCCCTTCGCAGTGCGACTTTCTTACCAATGTATGAAAGTCCTGTGATTCAGATGAATGTTTAAATAGCTGCACAGCCAGTTTGACAACTCCTTCTGCTCCTTCTTCCCTTTCCAGTCTGCATGCGAAGACGTGGGTTATGAGACCAATTTACCAATTTTGCAAGGAAATTTATCAATCATAACTGAGTCCAGGATAAGCAGCGCCGAGGAAACGATCTGATAAGGAGAAAGAGGAGAAGGAGGACAAGCCGGACAGCATATGTACATTCAAGCACACTTTCTCCCACGCAGGAATGTCAGAGAAAGGTATTTATTTCTTTCGCAAGAAAACAAGACAACAACAAAAATTCCGCAAATAAAAACCTTCAAAGCGCAGTTAGATAAACAAATAACCTGCTGCAGTTTCAAACCCCTGATGCTATTTCATTTTCTATGTAAACAAGAATAGACCCTTCTACCTCCTTTCATTTCAACATGAAGACAAAGTTAGAAATCTAATGGTGGCAACTTGTCTCCCCTGATCAAGTCTGCAGCCCTTTCGCCAATCATAATAGCGGCAGCATTGGTGTTACCGGAGACGATCCGTGGCATGATGGAAGCATCTACCACTCGAAGTCCGGAGATTCCTTGTACTCTAGGATTCAACACATAAATACATCATGTTTAACACAACAGTAAACAAACAATTATGTGCATAATACCACTAAATAAAACACACACACAAATTGTGTGTGTGTTTGTGTGTGTGTGGATGTGTTCGACAATCGATATATAATGTGGCTAACTCCAGACTGTTCCCTTTACTTCTTAGGATAGTTCAAGGTACCCATTACTGGCTGGATTATTCTACAGGCTTAAGCAAAAGAAATCCGCAATGATGTGGATTCATAGCCTCGAACCCTGGCAGGTATGCACGTGACTATCCACTGCGCTACCGACCGATGCTCTCAATAGTTTCAAGACATACCTTTAGAGACTCGACTTTGTTGACACAACTTGAGAGCACCCGCAAGAAAACTCGAGGGAAAAAAATACTATGTATTAAACCATAAAAAAAAAAAAGTTGCAGTGACACAAGAGGAAGAGATAAAAGGATAACGTACAACAACGCACTCACGTTAGGACACAGTTTACTTGGTAACCGTTTTATGGTGTCCCATATAACTATGCTCTATGGCTACATGGTTGAACAAGGTATCCGGGAATTTTATCTCTTTGATTCTCATCATTGAATGTTGAATTAGGAATCGACATCAAAGCACTCGGGACACTCTCATATGCGCTCCGTTCCCTCTTCAGCAGCAAGCGAAGATTACTGATTTCTATGGTACCAGTATCTGTCTTATTGCACATCCGTCTCGCCCTTCTCCTTGAGTGTTGAGCGTCTGCTAGATTCTCTTGTAACTCCTCGCAGCGCCATTTTCCTCAGACCGTAATGATCTATCTGTGCCACCACACTGTTCACTCGCTACCAAAGGGCCCTCACAATATCTAGCAAGTTGATTCTCATCCTTCAGAATGTTAAGTCTACAGAAAGCAAATCTGGAGGAGAAAAACTTAGCAAAAGGGAACCCTACAAATTACATACCTTAACTGTGAGTCTACCACAGCAGTTGGGTCTCCCTGTGGACCCATCTTACATGTCCCAACTGGGTGATAGATGGTGAGGGGTCTGTGTTTGATCAAACATTCCCAGTATTCGTGGGAGTCGTACTTGTGTTGTTTACAGGCCGATTCTGTCCCGTTCTCCGTGAACTCAGCCCCAATATCCTGCATAGGTTTAGAGTTCACAAGTTTCTTACATTCTTGAACACCTAAGGAATGCACAGATACACACACATTTTGCTGTCTGTTTTACTGAGGATTGGTTTCATAATGTTCACCCACACCACCGCCTCTTTTGTTCATGAACAAAAGAACATGAACACTCGCTCTCTATATATACACACACACACCTTTTCTCTCTCTGTATATATACATATGTAAACAAACACACACACACAAACACGCACATGTGCACACGTAAGTATTTAAAGCAATTATAAAGTTTGCAGATGTTATCGTCGGACTGGAATAAGACTGTGTATTGATAAATTCTTCCTAAATGTTTGCAGCCAACGTCTTTTCATGTTTTCGACATTACTTGTATGCGTGTCTCCAGCTGTATGATTTCCTTGATCTGGTGCAGACATGGAATTTACACTGCTGATCCTCTGCTGCTTACCGTTCCAGAAAGCATCTCGATCTATAAACAACTCTGCCCCCCGCCTCAAGTATTTTCTTCGTTCTCTTGAATGATCTCTGGTCGCGCGCTTAAACCACTATTTGCCATAAACTGTGAAAAACAGCACAACGACTCTGAGGTTTCTTTAAAGCAAGTCGTAAGGTAAAACCAGATGTGGCCAAATGTTCTTTCTGAGCTCCTCCATGTAAGGACAGTCTTGTTAGACATGTTCTAGAGTCTGTTCAGCGCGAAGACATTTACAGGGAGTTGTTTAGCTCAAACCTAATTTATTTGAGTGTTTACCGGGTCTCCAATGTTCAGTTCCTAGGATGAAAAATTAATATTTGCCAGTCTGTTTCTAATTATTTCTTAATGATGAATATGACTTTTGGCAAGGATAGTGGCTGCTACTTTACAGAGAATCTTTGAGAAAAACCGTATTGCCTACTGGGGTTAGTATCTTGTTCATATATTGGTTTGCCTCAATAAGGCTGAGAGTTCTGCCTTGTAGTTGGAAAAGTTCGCAAAGTGGGGGCTACCAAGGACAGAGTAGCGGCATCCAGGTGTTTATTGTAACACCTGGTCCGTAATTCATTAATGCCTCCTTTGCTGATCTATTGTATTTTGAATCCCGATGTGTCGAAGGTCGGACTGGTTGACCCCAACCTCACTCATTGTTATTCATAATTCGTTTTTAAAACGTGCAAGGAAAAAAAGTGGTGTTCTTCTCTAAGCCACTAACGTCGTGATACTCTATCTTGCAAAAAGTTATTTTAACAAATGCAAAGAACACGTACACAACTAACACTACATAACGTGAACGTTGGTACCTCGTATCAAGACTTCTCTATCCTCCTGCTTGTGGAGATAATTAGCCTGGATGATAGGGTAGTCAAAAGGATCTGTAGACTTTAAAGTGATGGTTCCTATGCTTTCTGGTCTTAGGAGAGAAGGCAGACAAATAAAGCCGTAGTCTCCCCGCTCTCTGTCAGCTAAGTCAGCCTTGGTCTATGGGAAAAAAGAAAGAAGATACATTTGATTTTAGAATGGAAAAACTGAATTACTGACTGACTGGACACGTGAGCTATCTCAGTCTACGATACCACTGAAGTCGATTAGCGTCTATGTTTCTACTTTGCCTTCATCATTAAAGGGGCGGTTGGCACGTGTGTTGTGGTTTATTTCTATAGTTTGTTCAACATCTCATGAACACACTTGCAAGCATTTTCTCGAAAACTACCTGTTAGATCGCAACGATTTTTTTGCATGCCGCCTTAGAATATCCATAACGCAAAATAATGGTATTCTTTAGTCTATAGATGCCTAGGATGCTGAATACCAGGCAATTCCTTTGAGCTTTTCGAACTATTGTAAGTATGTGGATTGAACTTTTAGATGTTACAGTACAATTCTGAATTTCCGATTCTATTTTTTTCCAGAAGCGTATCTTAATAATACATTAATAGGTGAAGTAAATTTATTGGTTATCATTTATGTTCAACTGAGTTGAGTTGAGCTGCGTCAAGAAAGACATCACAGCACTCGGGGCATTCTCATATGCGCTCCGTCCCCATCTTTGGCAGCGAGAGCAAAGTTCCAATACTAATTGTACCGGACGCAGTCCATTTTGCCATTCCTCTAAATGTAGTGTGCCGGCCAGGCCCTCTGGTCACACCTAGGTGTATCATTCTCTCCAGACCATGATAGTCTTTTTTCTCTACTGACTTCATTACTTGTTCCTAAAGGGCCTTGACCACATCCGCCTTGTCATGTATCAACTCATCACCCACTGGTGCGGATTCAGCCAATCTGTCTGCCTTGTTCAATTGTAAACATGTCCCCAATATGCAACAGTTAGTATTCTCCTCCAGTCACCATTAGACCTCACGACGCATTTTAACTGCACCGCAAATTGTATTATGGTTGACACATTTGGTTATGGAGATGTATTTATTGCAATTGTAGATGTACTTAATGGGCTGATGATATTGAACCACTCATCGAAAAAAAAAATGGTTTTAATAATTCCGAATCTGACGATCCCAAAAGGTTGATAATGATTACTCGCTGAACAAATTTTAATCCACCTCGGCGCCAGTACTCGTCTTCCTCACGGAGCACATGTTAAACATATTTTGTCCAGAAATAAATGTATATTTTTTAGAAGGACTTTTTGAAATATCAATACCGCATTGTGTTAAATTCAGTTTCGGACAGTAACAAGTTGATTTGTCTCTAACATTTTTAACATCTCACGTCTAATGACATCTACATCAAAGTCGTCAGCCTTCCTTTTCATTGTTTGCTTGACATGAGCGTACTCTGGACCCTGTCTAATCCAACCGTTAAAGGATGCTCTATCCAGACGAAGCGCGAGTCGTGTTCGTTTCTCACGGTCATGAATATCACAATATAAATGATACCGAGAGAGAGAGAGAGAGAGAGAGAGAGAGAGAGAGAGAGAGAGAGAGAGAGAGAGAGAGAGAGAGAGAGAGAGAGAGAGAGGGGGGGGGGGGTACGTTAGGACTGGCCCTCGCGTTGGACATCATCCTAGCTTTGTCCACAATGTCGGCCAACTTTTTTCAAGATCTTAATATGACGCCATGTGTACCGCTTGTGTAAGATTTTCTTGCACGCGGACAAGGTCGTTCTCAGCTGTTTGCTCCGCTCTGCACAAGGAACATGTCGGGTCGTTTGTCGTGCGCCATTTGACCAGCGTAGCACACCTTACACATATCTAATGCCAAAGCTCAGTCGTAGTGGAGCTATGCGCCAAATCTCACCCCAGGAGAGTTCTCGAGCAATGGCACCAGACTTGATGCGACTGCTGGGCTGCTTTCTAGACTCGCAGCTCTTTCTCTGTATCCCTGATTTGTTGTGTCACTGAAGCCGTCGGCTTGAATCTTGAATGTGTTAATTTTAATGCATTCTGGGCAAAATCTATAGCTTCGTTCACCTTTCACTTCCGTCCTATCTTTAGCGACGGCTATGGGGTCGGCAGTCTCGCGCAGCATCATCGCGAGTCTGGCCTTGCTGACTTTAAAGTCTTCCGATATAGAAGCGAAAGGAAATACCAGCTTATCCTGTTTATAATGAAGAACCATGTCGGACAGACAAGGCGGCACTCCTAGCCTTTTTTTATGGCTGTGTTGATTTTCCGCTTCTTCGCTCCTACTGCGCTCGTGCTCACCTCGTACACCAGCAGCGGCCATAGGAGCTTTGGAATCAACATACATTGGAGACACCAGACACTGACTTCCCGAACAGTGTGCTCTGCTCGTTAGTGAACAGGCCTGTTTCCACAGACTCGTGTATTCGCCGGACTTCCTTTCTATCGAATCGTAAACTCAACGAAGGCTCTTCACTGTTTGCTATAGAATCGTGGGGATAGTTTTGCTGGCTGCCAGCACCTTACCTTTACGGATCGACCTGACTTCTGGGGCTTTATTTGCGTCTCTTTCACGGCCTGTTACTATAGTCGTGTCGTCCATAAAAGCTCTCAGGTGGCATCCAGTGATCCCCTATCTGAAGTACTCGGCACCCTATTTGGCATGACCTGTATTGCCTTGACGAACAGTACCGGAAAAATCGTACAGACCAATATTCCATCATGGAGCACAATCCATCTCCTAGCGAATGTAGACACAGAGAAACGTACGGTGAATTTAGAAAAAAAGAAATACTGCTAAATAATGCAATGATCTCAGCCGTGCTACGTGAAAACATGCGAAGGGCCTGCCATGATAGCTTGTGGGGTACTGATCCATAGGCGTTGGCGAGGTCCAACTAGATCACGTGCAGGTATTTCTTTGCCTTTGTCCTCTGAACACACTCCCAAATCATGGGCGCATGCTTAAGGCATCAGGGGCGCCCGGAATACCTCCTTTCTGCCCCACTGTGTCTATCAACTTTTTCTGCATCAAATATTTGACGAGCCTGCGTGCGATATCCTAGCAGAATATTTTGTCCTCAACGTCATCAGCAAAAAAGGCCTGAATTTGGACAGATCAGAGGAGTCTGCCTCCTTGGGAATGTAGACTCTTGGCCTTCTGCGACTCCTTACATTTGTATTTGTGACTTCACGAAGCCTTAACAGGCTGTGAAGCTTTAGCAAGACTTCCGGACAGCTCTTATATACCACACACACAGGACATCACTGAATCATAGGGCGGAGTTGCTGCTGGCTTTGTTCACAACTTTTTTTGAGCTCAGACCAAGAGGGAGGCATTGCTTTAAACTTTGCCCTCGGCACTTCCGACCACTTCAGGACACTAAGAAACTCCTGTCATCGAGAGGACCATTCCTTGCCTGTCGGAGTACATGCGCATCAGATATGTCTCCAATTTCTCTTGGCCGACAACAAGAATACCTGATTCGGTTACTCGAAAAGACTTAGGGGAAACAGGAACAGTCTCTAAAGACTTTTTCTAGTTCCCTCTCGGTTCTTCTTTTGTCAGCGCGACAAAGGGTAATGTGTCTGCTCTTCAGGTGCAGCTGGACCTCGTACAGTCCCTCCCATTCGCTGCCTATAGCGAGTTTGAACCTTTTGGGTAGTGCAATTTTGTCTGCTCTTCTCTGTATCTCTCTGCCTCCTGCTTTTCTCATGGGGGACGCCCACTTTTGTCTTCTCTACTGTCAGGACTCGCGGGCACATTAAGAATAAGTTATGTTACCAAATCGTGTCAGTTTGTCCTCTAGGGACGATTTCGTAAATTTACCATCAATAGCCTCACATAACATACCATCCAGTTTTCACAATGACACCCTGTTACTTCCAGGCGATCATCTGATCTTATTTTTCACACCTGGAGAAGCAGGCTGCGGTACACTTCTGTGATTGTCGTCTTGGATCTCTTCAGGCAATTAGTGTAAACCTCGCCTGTCGTTTCCTAACGATTTAACCACCGCGGGCGAGGTAACACGCTGGCGACCACCACGTGGCGCACCGCAGCATCTCATTCTTTCGGCAGTTTTCAGACCATGCTTCCCTGTGAAGCTTCTCTTACAAAAACACACTAGCCCCATCGTTGGGCAAAAATCCTTTTTCCGATGACCCAGAGAGCATATTATTTCGTAGTTCGTAGCAAATAGAACCGGTTTATTATAATGCTGTAGGGGTTATCAGCCTGGTCTGCAGTCTGCTTTATGTTACCAGAAAGCCAGTTTATACCCTGGCGATACCGCTGTTTCCATTCCTGGAACTGAATTTCAAGGTACCATGTTCCCAGACTGAGAGCTCCCTCCCCGATGAGAAGATAAGTAAACTGCTTTACAGTTCCCCACACAAGGACCCACGTAAAATGGGATAATATCTGATGCAATGAAGTCCAGTCTATAGCATTTAAACATCACTGAGCTTGTATGTCGAAAGCTAAAAATAAATAACAATATAAGAACAGCATTAAATATACCACCAGACAGAAAGGCTTCAAGGCATCGCCGATGTCTGTTCTAGCCAAGGTAGTCGAGGGATAGGGAAACCATGCATGTTTAACAGAGATTAGACTACAGGAAAAAAGACAATGACCAATGACAACATGCGGATACTGACCTCTTCTGAGTAGCTTAAGAGATTCATCATTTGCATACTGGGCATAACAGAAACGAAGTGTATCTCCAAGTCTGGCCAGTCCTTCATTCTGGTTTCCTTTGTTGTGCTTTTAAAAGCCAACACTTCTAAACTAAACGGCGAGCTTAGGGGACCTGAAGTGAATGTTACAGACAGCTAAATACATCAGATCACAAGAAATAATTGTAGCTTTAAAATAAGAACAGATATAACCACCTCCATTGTAAAGGGTTTAAAAAAATGTATTACCATCATCATCACCATCATCATCACCATCATCATCATCCTTTTGCACCGCTTGTAGGTCACAAAGGTCTAACAAGCTGATTTCTTCATTCCCTAATATTTTGTGCAATACTTTTTAAATGGTGTATACTGTATAGAAACCAGCGCAGGACTAGTTTGTCTCCGAACGATAATCGTAACGGTTTTCTTGGGCGTCCTCGCTTCCTCAGTCCAGTTGTTTTTCAAGTCAGGGCCTTTTTATGCTTCTACGTCAGATTTCTCCAACTGTGTCCACTATAAGGGCACTATCTTTCTCTTGTAACTGTTCATATCAGCTGTTTTAAAAATATGTTGCTGATATGTTATTCTTTGATTTTATCAAAATTAAACAAGAATAATAATGAAACAAGACACACAACCCTCCAGTTAGAGAGATTTATTAAAAACCGAAAAAATATTAGAAGTTAAAAAAAAAAAGTAAACAATCTTCTAGGAACTCACTTATATTCGCATTGCTTCGTTTAAAATGATGTAGAACAGGACAGGACAGTATTAACACATGGACACGCTATCCAGCTGTTCAGAATCAGCAAGCTCTTGTAGCCCCCTGCTAATCTACGTACAGAGCATTTTTTATTGTGCCCCACTTCAGTCACCTGCATCAACAATCAAATCTTGCGCTATCTCAGTGGAAGGAGACAAATGAAGACTTGTTTTAATTTCTCATGATGTAGTCTAACCACTAAATATAATGATACTTTTTCAGTACAAGTAACTCACTACACGTTTGTAGGTGTTTCTAAAGTTATTGTGGACCTCACATTTATGAAAGACTCTGAAATGTCTGGTATTTTTTTTTTACTTCGCTTAATCCTTGTTATGTAATTTAAGGACTTGTGCAGGACTGTTCATGGTCCCATAAAGTTTAGACAAAGGTTGTAAACTACGTGTTCTAAATCCAGTTGTGTGCTTTCCTGTGTGTATGTTCGTTTCCTGCACGAGTATGAAGTCTGGTGTATATTTATGAATCAGCTTTATAACATGTTTCCATTTCTTCTTCAGACCAGATATATGTCTCCCTCCATTTCACAAAAATAATTACACGTACCGAATTTATATGTCATATTTGACAAAGTCAACAGGAATAAAAAGAAAGAGTTGGCTTTATGTATGTGTGTGTGTGTGTTTGTCGACTGTTCCGTATCTATGCCGCTTATAGTCTATATCTGAACCTGTCGTGTTTTATGTTGCAACTAACAGCATTTTTGAAGAGATGCCATCGTCATCTGTTTCGTTGCTTTTGTTGTTGTTGTTGCCTTGTTGCTATCCGTATCATTGTCGAGACATCAACATTGACACAAACACTTTGGAGAGATCAACTGCAGACCTACTCCTCTATTGGCAGACGTGAAAAACGGACTGTTGCAATTTGAAAGAGACCAAATACAGCAAGCTATAAAGAAGAGAGGTCAGAGAGAAAACCAGTCTCAGAACGGTAGCGTATCCATGTTTTTAGGTGGACTAGGGGGCAGAGACTGCCACTCTCGCACTGGACTTTACAGTCACATCAGACACTGTTCCCATACCTGCGGTACAACACCATGGTCCCACAGGGACTGATGGCTGCGTGCTACTTTGATTGTTTGAAAACAACGAATCTCACACTAAACGGATTGGAATTAGAGGTTTCAGATTTTAAGTGTATAATTACTATACCGATTACACAGTCACATACCTGTACCGAACAGCCTGTACTGCAGTATCGACCGCCAAGTAACAAGACCCGACAATAAAGTAGATAATGGCTCTTTTATTCTGACACCCATATCGAAGAATAAGTGGTCCTGAAGATTTTGTCCAACTGGAAGATCTGCCACCACAGGGATCTGTAGACAAGTTGACTGGACATGTTTAATTGCTATACAGCTAGTGTTTACACAAATAGTTGGCAGCAGTCTGCTTTACCTTTAACTGGGCAACCGTATTAGTAGTGCTCCGTGAATAATGCAATGGCAAACTACTGGAAGTAAAAGGTACCCTTTTCACGTCTTTAGACGTATAGGACATATAGGGCTAGATCTATATTTTTATAGACCAATAATAAGTGACGTGGCGAGCATCACGCCGGCCCCCTTTACTTCCCAAACTGCACCCGGTACCCACTCAAGGCTGGGTCGACCTGGGAGTCAAGGTCATTTTTGAAAAAAGTCCGGCTTCGCCAGGGAGCGAACCCACGACCATCCGATCCGCACGCGAGCGTCTAGCCGCTACGCCACGGCGACTCTCCTACTGGAAGTAAGATTGTTTAAAAACCGCACAACAGTCACCACAGGTTCAATGCTTGGAATGGTAGCTATAGCTTTCCACTGTTGCGTTGTCTAGTCCTTCTCTACTTATCGACATCTATGAGTGCCAACATAATACCATTTCTGGATCATGCATTTTCAATAGCCTCACTGGTTCCCAAGAAACTTAGTTATGAGTTTAGACTAGAACGTCCTCAAGAAGGTATATCATATGTATATTAATCAGCACTGATACACTTCAGAACAGACCTATCCGGCGGTAACATTAACATTAAAACTGCAGAAAGCACGATACGAATATCAACATTGTCCGGAGAAAAAAAAAAAAAAGTAAACTGATGTGGATAAACACAAGTAAACAGACACAACAGGTTATTGGAGTTGACAAGGAAAGAACTGATACAGCACGCAACTGAGTTTCAAATAGAAAAACGTCAGGGATGTATGATGCTGCACATGGTACGAGGATTAGCTTCAGGAGTTTTTCAACCAGATTATTTTATTTAACCCTCAGACAAATACAGCAGTATTTTTTATGCAAAAGATGGAATATTTCGAGACTTTTATGGTATTTAATATTTACGAAAGAAATTACCGATAAACTGTCGAGATGTTTCCTGGGACCAACACCAGATAACATGAGTATTTGAGGGGAACCGATGGCTCCAGCTGACAGGATGATCTCTCTCCTGGCATTGACGATATATTTCTTTCCATCTTTGATCACTACAACACCTTCGGCTTTCTTGTTCTCGATGATAATCTGAAAAATACGAGTTTTATTGATAAGTTAGACTACCTTAATTTTTTTGAGAAGACAAACTCAAGCACACGACATATCCTCCAGCGGTTAGGGTGTTAGGGATCTTAATGTGTATGCGTAGATTATTCTCCTTATGCAGAGCACACCTATACAGTCAACCTATAGGTTTAAAAAAAAAAAAGATTGACAGTGGAGACGATCGATTTCCTTGCACCGGGTTTAATCAGACATGGCTGTGTCTCTCTCGGTAGGACGCATAGTCAGCAGCCTGCTGTAAGCGCCGCACAAAACACGGTTTTCGTAACCCAGCGACGATTCCCACAGGTCTCTGCAAACACTGCACTTTTGAACCGAAAGACAAACGATTTAATCGCTTAACCCCTAACTAAAGACTCTTAAATGGGTAAACTAATGTCTTTTTATTTACCACGAAGGTAAGAGAAGATATTTTGGCTCTTTTCTTTTAAGCGACGCCATCATCAAGATTTAGGAAAATCCCATATTATAGGGGGGTTAGGTGTTAGGGTTAGTAGTAGTCGCTATTCGTATAACATTAACCCTAACCCTAACCCCACTTCTCCATCTTCTTAGAGTCCATGTTGTGTGGCGTTGGTAGTCATGTCTATCCACAACCTTCTGACTCGTGTACTTTCAATCAACTTTGACACGAATGATCTTCCATGCCATGATGTCAAACTGTGTAGCATCTGTTCTCTCGGTCTCCCTCTGCTTCTCCCCCCTCCACCCCATTTTAAACTTTCCCACCGTCACGATGTATTCCAGTTTTCTCCTTCTGATCACATGACCAAAGAATGTAGATTCTTTTTCTGATGTTTGCAATCAGTTCTCTTCGTGAGCAAGTCCTTTTTCTGATGTGTGCAATCAGTTCTCTTCGTAAGCAAGTTCTTTTTCTGATGTGTGCAATCAGTTCTCTTCGTAAACAAGTTCTTTTTCTGATGTGTGCAATTAGTTCTCTTCGTGAGCAAGTTCTTTTTCTGATGTGTGCAATCAGTTCTCTTCGTGAGCAAGTTCTTTTTCTGAAGTGTGCAATCAGTTCTCTTCGTAAACAAGTTCTTTTTCTGATGTGTGCAATTAGTTCTCTTCGTGAGCAAGTTCTTTTTCTGATGTGTGCAAACAGTTCTCTTCGTGAGCAAGTTCTTTTTCTGATGTGTGCAATCAGTTCTCTTCGTGAGCAAGTTCTTTTTCTGATGTGTGCAAACAGTTCAAACTAAGACCCCCGTTTTTACTTTCCGTTACAATTATATCTATAATTTCTTGCAATGGTGTTTCACTTTCAGGGATCAAAACTATATCGTCAGCACATCGCAGATTGTTAACAGTATGCCCACCAACCACTATTCCGGGCACCACCATATATAGATCTAATTATTGTTTCACTGTACACAATAAATAAATCGGGTGATAGTACACATTGTTTAATGTTTTGAAAAGTTCCAACTTGATTTTCAATCCTTGCGGCTGCTTTGTGTTGCTAGTATATGTTTTTTTTTTTTTTTTAAATAATTTTTAGAACTTTACTATCAGTGTTTAAAGTTTCTAAAATTCCAATAATTTCTTCATGTTTCTCTTTCATCATCATCATCAGGAGAGGGAGAATATTGGACCCAATCAGCTTGATACAAACAGTAACGACCCTGCTAGCCCCCGGACTCCGACTTTTGCCCAAAGTCCGGGTTAGCTCTGTACATGTGGAAAAAGCTTCACGGGGTTGCATGGTCTAAGAACTGATGCCGGAAGGATGAAATGCGAGGGTGCTCCACGCAGTAAACGCCGTCGCAAAACTACTACTCCTGTGGTAGTTTCTGAGTCGTTAGGGAACGACGGGCAGGGTGTACCCCACTCGCCCGGAGTCTGGGACTCTGGTTGTCAGTAAAGAGGAGCTTGAGTCACATTTAGGCAAAATGAACTCTGACAAAAAGAGGAATGCGCCTCTCGATAACAATCCAGGGATCCTTAGCGGCCTTAAGCAGCCTGAGTTGCCGAAGGTATCATTTAAAGTGATACCTCCCCTTTGGTCTGTTGAATGTTGAGGGCAAATTATTCTTCTCGGTCATGCCTCGCCGGCTCACACAGTATCTGATGGCGAACAAGTACATCGATACGAGTGTTCAATCCCGGGCGCCCCTGGGTGCCTTGAACACGCGACCATGATTTGGGAGTCTATTTAGAAAGCTAAGCATGAGAGAACCGAATTGCACGTAATATGGTTGGACCTCGCCAACGCCTATGGGGCAGTTCCCCATAGGCTGCTGTGGCAGGCCCTTCGCATGTTTCACGTACCGACACAGATCAACGATATGATCGAGCAATATTTCTCTAAGTTCGCTTTGCGCTTTTCTACCTCGACGTTTACCACGAGATGGAATGAGCTCCAAGTTGGGATAGCTATGGGATGTACGATCTCACAAATACTGTTCGTCATGGCCATGCAGGTCATGTTAGACGGTGCGGCCGGCTACGGACAGGGCCTTCAAATTGGGGATCACTGGATGCCGCCACTACGTGCATTTATGGATGACACGACTATAATCACGGGCAGTGAGGAATCTGCCCGCACGATTCTGAAAAGATTGGACGCGGTGGTCCAATGGAGCTGTATGCAAGTACAAACCGCAGAAGTCGAGAGTCTGCCAATCCTAAAAGGTAAGGTTGCGGCAATCAGTTTTACGGTGGCAAGGAATAAAATCCCCACGGTTCTAGATGAACTGGTGAAAAGCCTTGGTCGCGTTTACGATTCGAAGTTATCTGATAGAGCGGAGATCCGGCGAATACACGAGTCACTGGCTACAGGCCTGCTCGCGATCAAGCGAAGCAGGCTGGTTGGGAAGTTCAAAGTCTGGTGTCTCCAATTCATGTTGATTTCAAAGCTCCTCTGGTCGTTGTTAGTCTGCGAAGTGACAATGACTGCAGTGGAGACGATGGGAAAAAAACCAACACAGCCATAAGAAAGTGGATTAGTGCACCGCCTTGTCTGACTGATGTGTCTCTGTATTGTAAGCAGGCTAAGCTGGTTATCCCGTTCAAATCGATAACCGAAGAGTTTAAAGTAGGCAAAGTAAGACTCGCCATGCTATTGCGCGAGTTCTTCAGACCCAAATGTCATCGCTGTCCAGCCCGCTCTAAAGACTGGTCTGAAATGGAAGGTCCTAAATGCGATCGAATCTGCCCAGAATGCACTGAAATTTAGAGGAATTATGGGTGGACCAAAGCCACAGCCAAAAAGCACCGAGACATGGTGATACAGCAAATAAGGGACAACGAAAACGAGGTTAGGGTTCAGAAAGCAGCCCAACAGTCACAGCAGGGCCATTGGATCAGCCTGGAGAGCGCATTGCCAAGAGTACTCACATGGGGTGAGATCTGGCGAATGACCCCGCTGCGACTGAGCTTCATCGTTCGTTCGGCCTATGATGTATTACCGTCTGGTGTCAACATGGTCAAGTTGAGTGCGACTAACGACCTGTCATGCCCGCTATGCAGAGCTAAGCAGACGCTCGAGCACGTTCTGTCCGCGTGCAGAAAAGCATACACTTGGCGCCACAACAAGGTGCTAAAAGAGTTAGCTGCCGTTGTGGACCAAGCTAGGATGAGGGCCAACGCGAGGGCCAGTCCTACCGTTGTCCCCATACGCTTCCTCATGGCTGGGCAGATTCAAAAAGGTAGACTCAACAACGTCGCATACGCTCAATCTATGCTAGACTCTGCGAGGGACTGGTTACTGGCGGTTTACCTGCCTGCCCATGAAAGTTACCCTGAGTTAATCTGGAAGACCGGCCTGCGACCTGACATAGTTCTCCACTCTGAGGAGAAACTCCACTCTGATTGAGCTGACCGTGCCGTATGAGTCGCGAATGGACGAAAGCCATATGTATAAGTTCGAGAAATACAGTGACTTAGCAGCCGGTCTGAGGAGGGACGAAGCGTACACAGTAAGAGTCTTCGCCGTCGAAGTAGGCGCAGAAGGTCTCGTTTCCACTTCACTTTACAATTTGATTAAACAACTAGGCTTACGAGGTAATAAACGCAAACGGACACTTAAACAGCTGGGCGGGGTTGCTGAGAGGGTCTCGAGCTGGCTCTGGACACAACGAAACAACGTAGGGGACGGGCCTCGGTGAGCTGGTCCGGGTGTCTAGTGGAAAAGAGTTTCTCATCCCTTAAAGTCCATCGTGTCCGAATTGTCTGCCAGTGTCCCTCTGCCACCTGCTAACAAAGTCCAACATGTGTCAGGTGAACCAATCGTAAGCTTGCCGCTCGGTTGTTCAGGTATGCAGACTGCTTTAATTATACTTCTTATCTCACAGTACTTTCTGCAAAATCACCAGTTCGTCTTGTCCCCGTCCGAATAACATTCGGCAGCAGGGGAAACCAACCCTGAGCTTCATGAACTCAGGTGGGCCCACTCTCTGAAAATGTACAGTAGCTCGTGGGCCGAAACATTTGTCGACGAAAGGTTAATTCTACTGATGATTGGTAGACCCCTGCTGTAGACAGGCGATATCAGAAGTTTTAAGGAAATGACTGGACATAACAGGAAAAGCTATCAACAACATGCACGCAATCGTGGCGTCTAGGGGGATAGACAAAACACTGGAAATGAGAATTGTCAGATGTCAGGATATCAACCATATTATATGACGCATAAACCTGGGCAATAAATAAGTAATCGAAAAGTCGAACTAGGAATAAATAGACGTTGATATACAAAACATTAACATTTTGCGAAAGACAAGATCAGTCATGTAAAGAGGTTCAGAAGAGACATAACGTGAGTAGAAAATTGTTGAAATAAATAAATAAATGAAATAACAACAGAGACCAGCGACATTTTTCAGTCACATTAAAAGACTGCAATCTTACAGAATCCACACTGGAGAGAAAAAAAGTTGAATGCAAGCAATCAACAGGTAGACAGTGAAACAAAAGGGAGGATAAAAACCACAGATGATGAACTGCATTTTCAGAGAGAGTAAAAAGAGGGCGACAGATAAACAATTTTTGAGATCTATTACAGCCAAAATGTATTGTAGAATTGAATTCCTCTCATTGACATGTGTTATTTGTCTGGTCCATGCCGCATCTGTGACCTCGTCTAACAGATAATATGCACACACAGGGGGAGGGGGGGGGTGTCTGGAACCTAGCAACATATGTCTTTTGTGGTCCTCTTTCCCCCCACCTTTACACTAACACCAATTGTTTGGGGAGGGGTGGCGCTCAGTCTGCCGCACCTGGACAATTTGTGATATGGACTAATCGACTCGCCACCCACTCCCCAACCGTGTTTACAAATTGTAATCAAGTATGCGCGAATACATTGGATGCTATCTTAACAGTACTTTATACGCAATTTCCATTTATTAAATGAAAATTATATAATTCATCATAGTGGTAGCAGTTGAAAGAAAAGACCAACCAGAGAAATGAATAGAGGGCGGGTGATATTTGCAGCAATTAACTTCAAGGGCTCAAAATGCTGAGGAAGAAGCAGTGGTAGAGTTTACAGCAGCAGCAGCGGTGGTAGTAATAACAATTCCCACTATTCACCGAAACTTTGCTTAGACACTTAAACGCCCCACCTAAGCAAATTTGGAGAAAGCTATAAACTCGCCTTAGATTTGTAATTACCCCCGCCCCCTCCCCTGCCCCTCCCCAGCCTTTCCGAACATTTACATTGTGTTGGTGCCACTGATGACATTCTGTAACCTATTGTGTTGGCGTCACTGATGACATTCTGTAACCTTTTGTGCTGGCGCCACTGATGACATTCTGTAACCTTTTGTGTTGGTGCCACTGATGACATTCTGTAACCTATTGTGTTGGTGCCACTGATGACATTCTGTAACCTATTGTGTTGGTGCCACTGATGACATTCTGTAACCTATTGTGTTGGTGCCACTGATGACATTTTGTAACCTATTGTGTTGGTGCCACTGATGACATTCTGTAACCTATTGTGTTGGTGTCACTGATGACATTCTGTAACCTATTGTGTTGGTGCCACTGATGACATTCTGTAACCTATTGTGTTGGTGCCACTGGTGACATTCTGTAACCTTTTGTGTTGGCGTCACTGATGACATTCTGTAACCTTTTGTGTTGGCGTCACGCTAATGGCTTTAGAAGGGTCTTGCTTTATTACTTTCAACACAAGTGCACTCTGAGTACTGCTGCAATCGCTAATTACAACTAAAATGGTATCGCACTCTATGTGGAGTCATACACCAATTTATGCAGTATTGTAGATACAGATGAGGAAACTGATAGAGATAATTATAATACGAATGCAAAAGGCAAGAGGAACTTTCACTAAATTATTACATTTGTGGAGATCCCAAAAAATTAAACCTAATATTCAACCCAAGAATTGTAACTTTAATGTCAAATCAGTACTTTTGGGTGGAGCGGAAACATGGAGAACAACTAAAATAATTACTAATAAACTACACATATTTAACGGGCGCCTGCACAGAAAAGAAGGACTTAATTGGTATAAAATTATTAACGTTGAGCTTCAGGAGAGAGCTAAACAAGTTCCAGTGGATCAGGGGTGAAAAAAGGTGCTGGAATTGGATAGTACATACGTTGAGAAAACATGAGAACAATATAACTAGAATATCTTTGCCCTGGAACCCACAGACCCATTTGACAAAGGGAGCTAGAGAGTGAAGCTAACAAGATTGAGAGAACAGGGAGAGAGCTGCATGCATTAGGAAAGCTAGAACGACCTGATGCGAATTGGTTGAGAGCCTATACTCTGTTGGATAATAGAAGGCAGAAGAAGACGCAAACGATTGACCGCATAAATATCGGAGACACTGGCAAGTAATTTACACGAAGAAAAGAGAAGCCCCCCCCCCCCCCCCCTTTGCAAAGACCTCTTCCTGTTCTAACGCTGCGAGGTAATCCAGGAGTATAAAAACAACAACAACAACAACAACAACCGTACCTTGGTGACGTGTGCTTTCACTGCCACATCCAGGTTGGGTCTATGGAGAACTGGGTGGATAAATGCCCGACTTGTGGCCATGCGTTCACCATTCAGGATGTTTAATTGTGAATAACCGATTCCTAAATAAAATGTAAAAATGAGAAAGTATAACGTAGACTGACAGATAAAGTATGTAGTTGGAGAGAAGGCAAACTTCATGGTTATATTTCTTTACCTCTTCGCGTAGGCCTTGTGCTATGGCAAAGGTTATTATGTTTGTCCATAGCCGTCTTTCTCGTGTACTGCCAATCTTTATTACCACAGATGTTCGCCCATGCCACGAGACCAAACTGCCCAACATCTCCTCTCTTCGACTCCCTGACCCTCCCGGGAAGTAAAGGCGGCCCGTGTGATGCTGACCACATCACCCATCTTGTACCGATTGGTCTATAAAAATATAGGTCTAGCCCTATATGCCCTATACGCCTAAGGGCGTGGAAAAGGGTCCTTTTACTTGATAGGCTGTGAGAATATGGATTGACTACTTCTAGTGCGATGAAAGACTTGATGTGTCAATGTCTTTCAAGACATCACCCATCAGTACACTGGTTATCTGCTCATGATATTTGACAGCTGTCCTTTATTCAGGCGCTCAGGAACCTGTGAACCTGTGGGCTGAGGTCACCCTTCACCTAAAAGATGTTTAGAGGGGGCTGAGCCTTCCTGTTCCCCAAATAAAATTGAAATGGGGTTAAGCGGTTCTGCAGCCCTCTGTTTAGAGTTCTCTTTGTAAGTATTTGTTCATTCATTTCATTTAAAAACAAAATCATCAACATATTCTTTTGCCATTCAGCATATAATAATACAAATAATAACAAAAGTAAAGTAAAGAACAATTTTTCCGTACCTTAAATTGTATAGACCCATCAAAACTCAGTGGGTGATTTGGTCAACATTGCGGCGGAATAATAATAATAATTCCTGTGTGGGTTCCGGAGTCCTCTAATAGGGAAAACAAGAATAGACCCACTGCCTGTCCAAAAGCATGTTGTAAGAGTCGACTAACTGGGAGCTTTCTTTGAAGTCGAAGTGCATCTGCCTGAGAGGCAAGGAACCAGCAGTCTGCATACAGATGAATCAGATCTGTAAAACGGATGCACACGCAACACTCAGGTTCAGGAACGGGACTGCATTCTAGAAGTGGATAAACAACCAAAACTTTCCGCCAGAGTTTACAGCTAGTGAACGCAAAGAAGAAAAAGAAAATAATAATCATTATAATATCAACAACAATACTTTTTATAATTATAACCCACTTGAAAAGGCTTAAGCCACACCTAAAACATTTGTCAAGAGGCTAAGGGCACTCCACTTCCACTCAAACATCCTTTCTGTGTGTTAGCGTCCCTGCTTGAAGTCACATGTGTCCCTGCTTGCCGACACATTTACATTGTCATCAATTCCAAAAGTATAGTTTCCATACTTTTAATGAAGCCCAGGAGCTAGCATTCCTTCCTTGCAATCTTTCCTTCCTATTGTCCAAATATTCTAAAAATAATCCGATACAATTTCAATGTTTTTCCCGTGAGGTTTGCGGAGTCCCTCCCCCCCCCCCCCCCCCCCCCCCACTCCCAAAGGAAAAAAGGGGGAGGGGGGATAGACCAAATGCCCCACTCCCACCATACAAAATATTATCGTAAATAGGTAGCCAATATGGGTTTCCATATCAAAGTAGGAGTGCATCCATATGAGAGGCTGTGTATGAACAAGCCGTGTGAATACAAGTAAGCTATATATGTAGAACCGAATTTCGGAAACAACCGAAGTCCAGAATTAAACGAACAAACAGAATTTTCCACCAGAGCTTACAAACAATGAACGCTAAAAAGAAGGAGATCTTAAAGTTTACAGGCTGGACGCAAGGGAAGACGGGAATGGGAGAAACAAGATCTGACACTTCAGGGTATCCGACTGCAACACGATCAACACAGACAAGCGATGTGTGGCTCCTTGTCTCTGTACTAACTTCTGACTACAGTTGACCTCCTCACCTTCCATTGTTCTTCCGTTGTAGTCCTCGTTGAAGGGAATCCCCACTGCCTGGCCAGCTTTGATCAGTGTGTCACCCAGTGCCACCGTCTTGCTGTGGCTGATTGGCAGTGGTCCCCCATGTCCGTGGTAAGCTGAAACAAAAATTTAACAGCGCTAACATGCATACTGTATTCATATTTTTCATTGACATATCGGCATGGAATAGATGTTGTCAACATCACGCTACCGACTTCACGTTAAGTGACATTTACTGATACCAAAATTATATTAGGTCATGTAGATCCCAGAGCCAATGTCGATTAAAATAAATCATACTCGATCCAGATTCGAACCCAACTGCTGACAGGCAAACGTATATAGCTTCTGGGCTACCACGACACCCCCTACACAGATGTTGTCTGCTGTATTTGTGCACGTAATATTCCATGTTAGTTTACACTCCCTAATTTCTCCGTCTACTGGCTTTCTCCAGGTGTGTTAAGGTACCCCATGTACTGGCTTTCTCCAGGTGTGTTAACGTACCCCATGTACTGGCTTTCTCCAGGTTTGTTAAGGTACCCCATGTACTGGCTTTCTCCAGGTGTGTTAAGGTAATCCATGTACTGGCTTTCTCCAGGTGTGTTAATGTACTCCATGTACTGGCTTTCTCCAGGTTTGTTAAGGTACTCCATGTACTGGCTTTCTCCAGGTTTCTTGAGGTACTCCATGTATTCTTTTCCCACCTGTCGTCCACCAGAGAGATGTCTTGTCTTTGCCAAGGTGTAATGAGACACTTTACAAACAATGTTTAAAATGTTGCTGATGATAATAACAGTGTTGTAAAAATTTTATATCACTGGAGGTGAGACCTAGATGATGGGTTAGTTTCCTCGTTAGACTCATAAGACACCAAGTTGTAACCATAGCACATGGCTCGCCATTTTTGCAAGAAATTTGGTACATCAACGGGTACAACTAATTTCTGACTTGGATGGTATATATTTAGATGAAAGTAAATGACATTAGACACCCACACATTCTTTTCATAGCCAGTTTGTTGTTTAATTACCACCGATGCGCGACGCCGTTTTCGTCTTGCGTCTCCTATCAACATTTGCTGTCAGCTAATCTTTTAACAAACAGCTGCGTATCACTGAAACGATTGAAGAGACTTGAGTGTCTGAGTTTGATCTCATTCAGTAAAGTGTGAATAACTAGGTGTGACCCCTGTTCTCAAAAGAAGAAAAAGAAAAATAACATATATAAAGAAATAAGAACAGAAGGAGAACGAAATGAAGAAAGAAAGAGAGAAAGAGTGAAAAAAAGTTATATTTCTTAATTTAAAGGACAGACTATGCAGATGACATTTTAAACAAGGCATTAGATAAAATATAAAAAATACAAATGTTACCAAGTGTTAGCTTTGAGATAAATTTTGTTGCCATCAGTGAATAAAATAATTTTTGTAATTATTGTATTGTTATAAACATTTACAACAAAGGCAGATGTGGTCAAGGCCCTTTGGGAACAAGCAACGGAATCAGTAGAGATTCCGTTCCTTGTTCCTAACAGACCTTGACCACATCTGCCTCGATCAGAGTGGCAAGCTTCAGTGGAAAGGTCACAGGTAGTGAGGATACTTTGGATCTTTTCTTCAGGCCATGCCGGCGTGGTGGGTAATGAACAGGAGACATATTGGCTGGATCTGCACTATTGGGTGGTGAATAGATACATGACAAGGTAGATATGGCCAAAGCCCTTTGGGAACAAGCAACGGAATCAGTAGAGAAACAAGATTATTATGGCCTGGAAAGAATGAGGCACCTGGATGTAACCAGAGGGTCTGGCTGGCTCACTACACTCATAGGAAATGCAAGACGGATATATAACCAGATTGTGACCGGTACCATTTGTATTGGAACTCTGCGATGGCTGCTAAAGATGGGGACGGAGCATGATTGGGAATTCCCCGAGTGCTGTGATGTCAATTTTTGACTTAACTCAACTCAACTCTAACATTTACAACAAAAAATTTCATATTTTAAAATGTAAAATGTCAGTTTATTTTTACCTTTAAAAAAAAAAGAAAAAGAAAAAGAAAAGAATCAAATGCCACAAGCTGAGGACAACTGATGTAACCATATTTAATCTCATAAGCTAATGCGCTAGAATTGCGACAGGCATTAACCAAACAACACGGCTTTTAAAGTCCGAAGAAAATATGGAACTCTGGATTGTATAGCTTTAAAACCCAACTGTATATTTTTATTCCAATACAATTATAGTTTTAATACATGCCAATGAAAGTTGGTGCACCACCAAAGACGTGGAGAGGAAGTTTCATGCAGCCGGAAATAAAAGTAAAAGTAGGCCCATAAACATTCACTATCCTCTTCATGTCGTTGTTTATAATTAAGGCATTCACAAGTATATCCATTGTTGCTGGCCTACTGTTTTTTTTAACGCGTGGTATTCGATTTCCCTGTCGACTTACCTTCTCCAGGTTTCTTGTAGTCATCCATGTGTCCTCTTTCCACTTGCCATCCAACGGTCAAAGCAATTTTACCTTCTTCTTCTTCTTCTTTTGTTCGCCTGAAATAAGTTGTCTATATCAGCAGTTTTGTCTCTTGTATAAATTTCACTGTCGTTGTTAGTTCATTCAGTGGTCCATAGAGTTTACGTTCCACTGTTGTTCTTTCTGACCAAAAGGTTTGCCTTAATGTGTCAAAATCGGTGCAGTCCTGGAGTACATGCTCTGCTGTCTGGGGCACATTTCCACAGGTGCACATGGCTGATACACCTATCTTGAATTTGTGTGTACATGTGGTTACGTAATCGGTTGTGCCCTGTTCTGAGGCGGAGGATAATGACTTGTTCTGGTCTGTCCATAATAAAATAGTCGTCCTGTGCTGGGGCTGGTGGTTTCCTAATCGATTTAATGATTCTTTTCTTTTGGTGGTATGTGACTGGTACATCCGGCTGCTCTTTTGTCGCACCTTCCCCTGCCAGTTGATCAGCTTTCTCATTTCCAGGCACTCCAGAATCAGACGGTATGCACTGCATTACGACTCTTCGCTGAACACTGAGTTGTGTCAGCAGTGTTTGCAATTCTGGTAGTTTCCTAGACTGGAGTGCTTCAAGTACTGATTTAGCATCTGTCAGCATTACCAAATACTGTGAGCCAAGGTTGGTATTTAGCAGTTTCTCTGTAGCTATCTTGATAGCCTGGGTTTCTGCATCGTAGTTATGGCAGAACTTCCCGGCTGGTACGCTGGACTTATCCCTAGTACCATCTAGGAATTCGATTTACACTCCAGCGCCACCGTTTCTAACTGCACTTTCTGTATATAGACTTTGACCCATTGTTCTTGTGGGTATTCTTCATCAATATAACTGAGGGTGGCCATTCTGCGTTGTACACTATCTTGCTCTTTCTTGTCAAATATCCCTTTCACATTTGTCTGGATTTGTACCGTTAGTTTACATTTTTCTCTCCATGGGGTTTGTTCCGGAATACTTTTAAGTGGGCAACCTATTTCTGGAAGGTCAGGAGTTTGTCTACATATTCTTTTGCTTGGTGTATAAAGCTGCTTCTTTTTAACCGTCCCAAGGCTAGGTTCTTAAATCTATTTTCCATCGGGTGATCTGGCATACTGAGGAACTTTTCAGCAACTTATTTGCAACTTTGTATCTCTGCGTTCTCTCAGTGCCTGTGTTTTCTCAGCTTTCTCCATTTCTAATATGGGGGTTGATTTCATCCCTCCTGTGATGACTCTGAGCGCTTGATTTTGCACTTTGTCTAACTCCTTTAATGTGGTACTAGATGCTGAACACCATGCAGTTGACCCATATTACAAGTGGGGAAGTATGCTCTGCTTGTATACTTTACCTTTGCTTTCTCGATTGTCATCATCATCACCATCATAGTCATCATCATCATCATCATCATCATCATCACCATCATCATCGAATGCCTTGTCGACTGGAGTGGGCAATCATGCCTCTTTACAGTCTGATATCTTCTACAACATGTATCAGTTCGTATGCTGACACCACGCCATGCCATGATAAAAGGCTGTCAAGAATCTTCTCGCCTTGCCTTCATCTGTCTCTTTTTCCTAAGTTCCTTCCAGTTGTCACTAAATGTTTTAGTTTCCTCCTTCTCGTAACACTCAAGCCCTCACCTCTACAAAATACCAGGGTGGCATTGTGTGTGTGTGGGTTGTCCAATGAATTATATGGATTCATCTATGAACCATATCTCCGAGGCTTAACGAAATTGTTCGGCTTGTTTTTTAAATTGGACTCTCAATACCATAGTAAAATCAACACAAATCTGCAGCTAAATCTCACAGCGCTAGGAGAGAACAGTATGCATAGAAATTATGAATCGCGTTGATAACACTGAAGCGACCACTGACGACATACCTAGCATACATGAAATACTAATGCTACAACTGAACAGCCACAGCATCTTACAGGTGGCTGTAATTGTGATTTTCTTGGAATAAATCGTTGCCGCATCATCAAAATTATTGGCGTTGATGATAATGATGTATGTGTATATATAAGAAATAATAATGAATAATGATGATTCACTTTTGTGTTTGCGTGAGTTTCCCCACCCCCCTTTTTGTCCATTCTGTGTATTTTAAAAGTCGTCAGTAAGAGTTTAATATTCTATGATCGCCAAGGAATCAAATCACAGTTCAACACAGCTTCAGCCTGAATACATTAAAACGTTCCCGAAAGAAGCCCAACTGGCAATGCTACCCCGAGATTACATAATGACAGTATATTACGTGAGTTCTGGAGCTCAGGGATTCTGATGTCTTCTGACTTCTTGAAGTAAGGTAGGACGTGCTGATAGCTCCACCGCTCGTCTTTGGTGTACTCAGCCCAGCGATCGTAATCATGCCTAGATGCTCTCACGTACTGCATGACATTGATGCTGCTGGAACCTCCGAGAACTTTACCTCTTGGCCAGTAGGAACGCTGCAGCAAAAAAAAAATACAGATATGACACATATGTGATAATGACTCAAACAATGTAAACGTTGACTTATCTGAACCCATTTGTTGACGCTCTATTTTTTTTGTTAAAAAAAAAAAAAAAAATCATTGCACCCAAAAGTATGGAGTAAATGGGGATTAATTAGGATTCTTTGGAAGTAGGACGTTTTTAGCAGAAAGGTATAGAAGTCTAGCCGTAAACTGTAAAACAACATGTTGACATCGTTTTTAGAGCGAACTAGAGGAAGAAGAAGATAAGAAACAGAAGAAGAAGAAGAAGAAGAAACAGATAATAATAATAATAATATTAATAATAATAATAAAAAGAAGAAAAGGAAGAAGAAGCTGAGAAAAAAAAGTAAAAGAAGTAGGCGACGACGAAGAAAAAAAATAGGAAGAAAGAAGAAGAAGAAGAAGAAGAAGAAGAAGAAGACAACGACGAAAAAGAAAAATAAGAAGAAGGAGGTAGAGGAGGAGAAGAAGAAGACGGAAGAAGAGCAGAAGAAGAAGAAAGGATATTGTGTTGATCAGCTGTATACTCAGGCGGAAAGTTCTGATTGTTCATCCACCTCTAGACTTTAACCTTATTCCAGGACCTAGGTTTTGCATGATCCTTGAAGATTTGCACGTTTGAATTACTCAGAGATATATTTTCAGACAAGAGCTAGCTCTCTTGTCGATCCAGTTCAAATTGTGTGATAGGAAATGCTTTGGGAATTAAAGTCGAAAGACATGTTACTGGTCACACTATGTTTAGATTAAATAATGTCAGATTGGCACTTTATGCCCACAAACTCTCCTGACGTCACGGACGTGACATAGCTGTGTTTCAATGTTGTGAAAATAGCATTACAGAAATAAAAAATAATTTTAATTGAACAGCTCACAGAAGCAACATTGGGGAATCCTTTTAAGAAGACAAGAGACATTTTCTCGAGAATGAACATGGTCTGTAAGGATTAGCTGAACACACATGCCGTGATTGTAACTGACTCACAGAGCATGTTGAGTAAGGTGGAGTTGGGCATTTAATTAGCGTCCTTTTGATATTTTCTCCAGGCTATGCCGGTGTGTTGGGAAATGAGCAGACATATAGATTGACCGATTTTACACCACTTGGTGATGAAAAGATTATGGCAAACTAGATAATGTAAGGGCTATTTGGGAGCAGCTGAACAGGGCGAAGGCACTGATAGATCGTTACGGTATGGGGAGAATGGCGCTGCGAAGAGTTACTAGGGGATCTGGCCGACGGTCAACACTCGAGGTGAAGGCGAGACGGTTTTAAAATCCGACAGTTGCCCTCGCATTTGGAACTCCTTGCTTGCTACTGAAGATGAGGAAGGAGAGCTTTTGGGAGTGTTCCGAGTGCTATGATGTCGATTCCGAATTAAATATTCAACATTCATAATATACTACTGCAAGGAAGCTGAAACGGGATTTTTCACATGGGTGTCTATGACAGCTGTATGGGAGCCCAAATAATGAGTTATATAGATGTCTCTGTCTGTTGTAGGGTGGTTAAAAGGATAAAGTTTATGGATGTTTCTAACATCTGAACGAATATACTATACATAGGATGATTTATACGGATGTCTCTAGCAACTGTTTGATTTGATTTGATTCAAGAACCGACATCACAGCACTCGGGGCATTCCCATAAGCGCTCCGTCCCCATCTTCAGCAGCTAGCGAAGAGTTCCGATACTAATTGTGCTAGTAGTACTCTGATCAAACGTCCGCCTTCCTTTCCTCTGAGCCTCGAGCATCTGCCAGAACCTCTCGTCACTCCCCGCTGCATCAATATGTGGTGATCCATCTGCTCCTCCGAACTGTACACGCTCTCCCATAAGGCACTAACGTCTGCGACGTCTGCCTTATCATTTATCAGTATTCCACCATCTCTTATCTCTAGCAACTGTATTTAGGTTCAACGAATGAGCTGGAAAGATTTCTCTAACAACCTTTTGACAGGTCACGGGATATGTTACACAGATGTCTCTGGCATCTATCTAGTGGAGTCCCGGGGTAGAGCGTCCGCAAGGATCCACTGAGACACGACCACACGTCTGTCTTCTTCCGACTGTATACACCGAATGCTTAGACAACAATTCCTTAACAATATTACGTATTGTTTTGATGTCCTATTTGCTCACTCAGTACTGGTACGTTTTAGTGCATATCCTATTTTATCTTATCTCATATACAAATTTATATTGGCACACATTTTCTATTCACGGATGTTTATGGAATGTTTCCTCAAGTTCTTCATTGTCGTCATCGTCATCTTCATTATCATCATCATCATCATCATCATCATCATCCTGTTGAACGCCACAAACATAGCCCGCAAACCATTTTCATATGCAGTCCTAACTTAATCATGGATAAAATCCAAACTTTTGGCGCCTTCTGAACAAAGTCATTAACGATGAGCCAAGTAGACAGCATATATAGATTCTATAGACCTCACACCCCTTGACAGGTTAGTTTGCCTGACCGCCTATCAAGTGATTTTCAGTAGCACATTTCTTTGCACGCATGGTGAGGTAGCTGGCCCCACACCCAAACCTACCCCCTTTTTCACCGGGCCATGGCCACGACAGTAGGGGAGATACCTCCGGTATATTACATAAAAACAATCGCATACAAAATACTTACTTACCTTTCCATGTAGACCGGTCAAGACTCCATCTTGAGGTTCTGTCTCGTACGACCAGTCTATGTTACTTTTAAAATTGAGGCCACCTAGTCCAGGAACGATAATATGTGGGTTCTCATCGTCGAATTCTCCGGCTTCCAACAGCAAGACAGACACATCTTTGTCTTCTGAGAGACGACTTGCCACCACACATCCAGCTGAGCCTCCACCCACTGTTGACATATATATCATATATGAGACAGACATGCAGACAGAGAGAAATATAGAAAGACAGACAGACAGAAAGACAGACAGACAGACAGATAGGTAGATAGATAGATAGAAAGATAGATAGATAGACAGACAGACAGACAGACAGACAGACAGACAGACAGACAGACAGACAGACAGACAGACAGACAGACAGACAGACAGACAGACAGACAGACAGACAGACAGACAGACAGACAGACAGACAGACAGACAGACAGACAGACAGACAGATAGATAGATAGATAGATAGATAGATAGATAGATAGATAGATAGATAGATAGATAGATAGATAGATAGATAGATAGATAGATAGATAGATAGATAGATAGATAGATAGATAGATAGATAGATAGATAGATAGATAGATAGATAGATAAAGAGACAGACAGACAGATATGTATGTATGTATGTAAGTATGTATGTATGTATGTATGTATGTATGTATGTATGTATGTATGTATGTATGTATGTATGTATGTATGTATGTATGTATGTATGTATGTATGTATGTATGTATGTATGTATGTATGTATGTATGTATGTATGTATGTATGTATGTATGTATGTATGTATGTATGTATGTATGTATGTATGTATGTATGTATGTATGTATGTATGTATGTATGTATGTATGTATGTATGTATGTATGTATGTATGTATGTATGTATGTATGTATGTATGTATGTATGTATGTATGTATGTATGTATGTATGTATGTATGTATGTATGTATGTATGTGTGTGTGTGTGTGTGTGTGTGTGTGTGTGTGTATGTATGTATGTATGTATGTATGTATGTATGTATGTATGTATGTATGTATGTATGTATGTATGTATGTATGTATGTATGTATGTATGTATGTATGTATGTATGTATGTATGTATGTATGTATGTATGTATGTATGTATGTATGTATGTATGTATGTATGTATGTATGTATGTATGTATGTATGTATGTATGTATGTATGTATGTATGTATGTATGTATGTATGTATGTATGTATGTATGTATGTATGTATGTATGTATGTATGTATGTATGTATGTATGTATGTATGTATGTATGTATGTATGTATGTATGTATGTATGTATGTATGTATGTATGTATGTATGTATGTATGTATGTATGTATGTATGTATGTATGTATGTATGTTATGTATGTATGTATGTATGTATGTATGTATGTATGTATGTATGTATGTATGTATGTATGTATGTATGTATGTATGTATGTATGTATGTATGTATGTATGTATGTATGTATGTATGTATGTATGTATGTATGTATGTATGTATGTATGTATGTATGTATGTATGTATGTATGTATGTATGTATGTATGTATGTATGTATGTATGTATGTATGTATGTATGTATGTATGTATGTATGTATGTATGTATGTATGTATGTATGTATGTATGTGTGTGTATGTTTATATGTGTGTATGTATGTCTTTTCTTCTCAGGTGTAAACTCTGACGGGAAGTTTTGTTTGTTTGTCCAATCCTGGACTTTAGTCTTGATCCAGAACTTGCATGCACATGCGTTTGAGAGATTTGGCTAATTTATGTGCATAATGTTGGTTTCTTGTCTTTAAGGGACATGCACTTCGACTCTGAATGATACAACCTTAATTAGTCACCTTTGGCGTGGTGGGAGGGGGTGTGATGGGGTAGGAAGTGGCAGTGGATCTATTCTTGTTTTCCAAAATCGAGCCTCAGAAATTAGACTGGAAACTTATGACCTCGTACTCATTAGATAACATCTTTGGAAGTCCATCAGAAACTACTTTAGACACTTTCTACAGTAACTATAGTCTATAGTGTTTCAGTCGTTCCTTACCGGTGCTCCACAATAGTTCAAGAGCTTTGTATTTCCCACTGGCTGCGGGGCCGCTCCCGAAAAATAGCGCCAAGTTTTGACAATATCATATCTACTGATATTAGCTGAGATAAATGTACTATTATGGTAAATTAAATAAACAATTAAAAATACAATTTCATTGCAAGGACAATGCAACATTGTTTAGACGCATCCTTACTTTAAACTTCCTTACCATCTCTACCCCATCGTCTTCTAATCCTTGCACATAACTTTCACTTATCCTGTACGAGAACGGTAGACCTAAGGACCTCAGTCAGAGAAACTGACTTGGAAATGGGCTCCGCAAGTCAAAATAGTTGTTAACCGCTGCTCTAAAACAGTCATTTGAATAGGTAACCTTCTTCTTCTTCTCTTCCACCTTGTACGTCGTCGAAGTGTCGGGGGGGAGGGGGGGGGGGAGGAGGGGGAGATGTAATGTTCGGTGATGAGCACTATTAAGACTGATGTTCATTTCTGTAAGGCTGTTCTTAATGCCATCACTCCATATTTTCCGAGGTCTTCGACTCGCTCTATACCCGTTGTAACGTTTAATGTGGCTCGCTGTGACAGATAGTACCAGGGCATTCTTGTTAGGTGTCCAAACCACTTTTTTGGTTGTTCTTTGATGACCTGTAAGACTGGCTTTATTCCTAGCATTCATCTGATTTCACGATTTCGTATGAATAGGTAACCAACGGTAGATAACTGAGCATCGGTGGGTAATCTACAAACAAGCACGTCTAAAACTATATTTTCTCTATAAAGGATATGCATTGTATTGTGCTAGTGAAGGGTATAGAAATATAGTCTCCCAATCCCTCTTTTCTTCCCAGACACTTGGAATTTTTGTTAGATAGACGTGATTTTGACATGCACTGTTAGACTGAAATATGATTTTGACATGTGCTGTCAGACAGAAAGATGATTTTGACAAGTACTGTTTTTGTATGAAACTTGAGAGGTGGCATTTTTACATTGAAAGTGTACGGAGAATATAGGTTCTAGACATTACCGGATTTAATATTAGATTCATTAAGCACGCGCTTCGGGCATCATCAAAAGAAGAAGAAGGAGGGGGTAGGCGAAAAGGGGGAGGGGGGGATTTTCAATAGACTTGGAGCTCGGCGTTTATTTGCTCAGCAAATGTATGTTTATA